GTTGGACAAAATGAAATTAGGAATATTTTGGATTTATTAGGATTTATTGGGAATTTTTTGGAATTTTTAGATTTTGGGTCATGAAGGGGTATTTTGGTAATTTGGATATTTTTGGAAATTTTGACAAATTTGGATGTATTCAAAGTATTTGGAATGAGTTTTGATCAATTTTGGGTATTTTGGCCAAATTTGGGAATTTTGGCCAAATTTGGATTCCAAGGGTAGTTGGGTAATTTGGAGGTGCCTAGAGGCAAAAGACCAAGTTAGGCATTTCACATAGAATTGGATAGATATCCATTTTAAATGAACCATGGATTAATATATTGTGAAGATATGGTGTACCCTAGTTCTAAGTCAACACCCAGGGTCAATCCTAAAGCCAAGTAATCCTATAGGGACTCTTCTTGAATTCTCTTATAATGATCTTACCTACTAAATGCTAGAGGTTAAGATCAATATGTGGAATTTCAAGTTGAGTAAAAAGAAGAGTTTTGAATTTCTAATGGTGGGGTACCTCTTCTAATTTTCTAAGACTAGTCAATAGGAGAGTCCTATGGCTAGACCTAGACTACTAAAGAAGTTTTCTAGACCTCAACCAAAAGTGAGGTCAACACTAATAACATTGCAAAACAATCTACATGTTCGTTTCCTAACTAATCATTATTCAATAACTCTTTAAGACCTTGTCGACTCATTGATGCATGTCCCATGATAATTATAAGATCATCCCTGCATTTGAAAAATATATTTAGCATGACAATTGTCTGGGAAAGTAATGTAGAGCACATCAAAAGATAGTACGCTAACTTGAAAGTGTATTTGTTGCAGCATAGATCGATCACTTCAAGCATGTACTGTGGAATTTGACTTCTAGCGGGAAAATCTATAACCAATGATGCGGGTAGAACCTATAAAACTAATCACTGATAATACATAATGTGAAGAATTACGTTAACAGACTAAACAATAGAAGGATATATTCTATACCTTAACTGGATGGTCATCTACAACTTTTGGGTTTGAGTCCTCCTGCTGCTCTTCCTCTTTATTTACATCTTCGACCACCTCCTCTAATATAAGATCAAATATTTGACTCTGTTCATCAGGTTCTGTAATGAGTTGTACCTCTACTTTATCAGATGGTGTTAGATGAAGTTGCCCTGCTGTGTCAATATGTACATTTGGCTTGGGTGAAACAATTTCTGTTAGTGGTGGTTGCTCTGAAGCTGTCTCTTCCTCTTTCTCGCCTAATTTTTCAATTTGTGAAAATAAATCATCTAATGAAAACTTGGAGTCTTTCTCAACTTTCTTTTTTTGTTTTTTTTATTCTCCTCAAATGATGTAAATGGGGAATTTAATTTCCTCTTTTTTCAATTGTCTCTAGCCTTAACCCTTGGATTGAAGTACCTAGCTGGGAATCATGTATCCATTTCTTTGGAAACTTTCCATCTGGCTCATTTTATGCTTTTTCTAATTTATTTACTTGTGACTGCAAGTCTGTCACTCTGATATCTAAATTATCAAAATTTCTGTTTATTGATTCTTGAAATTCAAAATGAAATTTCTCTTGATCTCTAAGTTTTTGGTATATTTCCTTTCATCCAATATTACTGCCTTGATGGGTATGTATTGATTGGGGACTTATATGACAGGGTTTTATAGGATTAACATCAACATAATCGGGTGAATGTGGTATGGAGTGAGTATCATGGTGTGAGGGAAGCTTCACATGGATTGATGGTCCTTCAGCTGGAGGGGCGAGTAAGTGGTGCTCACTATATTTCAGATCCAGAAACAATTCATGAACCTACACAACATTTCAGACAAACACTATTACATCCCAATAACACCCTATATCATATTTTATAAATAATACAATATTAACACCAAAACATCATAATAACACCTTCAAGGGATTATTAGATGAGTGACTCACCTATTCAGGTTTGAGCCTCTTAAAGGCTAGATGAATATTTGATGCGTTCCAGCTCACTTTTGATGGCCACAACAACATTCGAAGTCTAGCCCCAGAAACAATAAGGACGACCAATGATGTGTGCTCGTAAAACCAGAGATGTGTAAAACATAGATAAATCAATATTTTCTATGACCAGAAATAAAAAAATACTTTTAAAAGGTATCCTAAAGATACTAACCATTAAAAGAAATACAAAACCATTAATATATCCCAGTGGTTGATTACTCCTTATTTTCATGGCATAGGCGTTCACTTGCTCAATGAGAAAGTCGCATACCGTAACAGGCCAATTATATGAAGAAAATGATTGTAAATCCTCACAAAATGAGTAAAGCTCTTGGGGGACACTGAAATTGCTTGAAGGAAAAAATAAATTTGTTACCAAAAACTTAAGTAATAGTTCTTCGAATGGAATAGAGGACTCCCCGAGTGAAACATTTACTAGGTCACTCTTTATTTGTCTAACAAGCACACAACAGGAGGGAAGCTTATTCCAATATGTTGGTGCTCCTCTGTTGGGCATACCTATAAGCAAAAACAACCTAGTTTGCATCAAATCTTACCTCTTTCCCACCTAATATGAATACCGTTTGATCAATATCCTAACAGTTCAGTATGTGCATGGTTAGGATATGACCTTGAGGGTACGGAAGGAGATCAAACACTGGACCATATTCATTGCTTCCAATGTTGTCCATGTCTCCTCAAGAATGGTTGGTCGGACCTTGTCGAGAACATCTCTTACCGCAGAAGGCCGGCATCTACAATTGATGGATTTTGCACTCAAAAACCTACATGAATTTAGCATGAAATTATCACCATAAACACTACATAACAAATTAAGAACAAAAGGAATTACACCTAAGAACACCAAAGATACAACTGAATATCTTAATAACACAAAGATTAACAAAATAATCCCCAAAAAAAAACATAGTATTAAAAAAAAAATTTTAATAGGAAGACTGACTAAATTTTCAAAAGACTCAGTTAACCCTAATAAGAAAAACTAGGCAGTTGTACTAGATGGTGCTTAATGGGTATATAGTATGAGATATAAATACTCTATTTGAATATACTAAAAATAATACTATTATGTAAATAAGCCCTCGTAATATAAGAGATTTCATTAATCATGCAAAATTAGTTACCAGATACAGGCAACCAGATGTTGAAGTTACCATCCTTAATTTAAGAAACTTGTATGTTTTTGATATTCTCATTACATTTATTCCAAATTTGTCATGCATTTATATAGGAACATAAATTGTTTAATTTAGCAAGCTTCATTAGCAGATTTCTAAACATCTATAATTATGTCTGAGATATATTTAATCATGTATGGTTGGTCGATACTGGATACATGTAACATGGTGTTGAAAGTTATGCACAGTCTACATAGAAGCTATCAAACGATGAATATAATTTGAATAGATATCAATTCTTTAATCAGGCGCAATATAATATATAGCAGCTATTAACAGGTGTACAAGTTGATGAAGTTTGATGGTCTTAAAAGATAGCTTGGCAATTCATGGTATTGCAAAATTCATGGTCCATCATTGTGGGCAGTTAGCAAACAGTAAATCTCTTTTGAGGGGCGAAATCTCTCTGAGATTTACAAGAAAATAAATGTGCACAATCTGCTCAATATTTTCCTTTGTTCCTATGTAATTAATATTTTTCATAGGTATAAGTTACCAAGAATAAACTAGAATCTTGTTGTGATCAAATGCAAGCAAAATTAAAATCATTTATCATCTTATGATATAAAGGTCCAGAAAAAAAAGAATCTAAAGCATGTTTCTATGTTTTTTTATTCCATCAGCCCCAAAAATTCCACTTGCCCATCATATCTTCAGCTGACCAAAACTTTGCTCCACTTCATGAATCTACTGCTCCAACACAAACACCCACATTTTTTCAATAATGAAGTTTTCTTCTTATCTGTTTGAAGAACATATCTTTATATCATAAATTATCAAGAAATAAAATGATTCTAAAAAAATTTTAGTGGTTGAATACCAAAGCCTTCAATCTCCACTGAAATGGGATAAAAGAAATTACCAATATTCAGTCCATGTTGCGAGAATCTCTCTCAAATAAAAGGGAAATTTAGGCCGGTTGATTTGCCCCATAATAAGTGAAGACGATATCAGGTTGTTACATAAGATGTAAAAGGCTCTACAATTATGTCCTAGTTACGTACGTTAATGGTATCAAGAATTAGTGAAACTAACATATTCCTAACATACAGAAGGCAAATGGGATGTGATGAAGCAAATATATTCCGAAGTACATGATGCAGCTTGAGTTTATGAGATTACGACACATTCAAACCACCAAACAAGGCATTCTTTCGATTATAAAAAAATTAAAAATATTAAGCCTAAGCCGAGAGCATCAAAGTCCAACATTTAGAAACAGTGTTACTTTTAAATGAAGCACTCATTAAAAAATAATAATTTTATGTTCAAACATTATTAATGAGGTTGTGAGAGATGGGAAACTCTTAAAATCTTTATGAGAAGAGTGCACCATATCTAAACCTATTTATACATACACATACATACTAATAAAGGTAGGTAGAGATCAAGCTGAGCTCTAGCAGTAGAGATGAAAGATGAGTCCATGTATTTCTTTAAGTTAATTAATGAGCTCTAGAACTATTTCAGTCCCTGTTAAAAGAGCATGGAGACTGATTTGAGATTTCCCTAAAATGGCCCTCAACAAAGAGTTATGGGATCATTTTGGAACTTTTCTTTTTAATTACTAAATTTGCATTTGGCCACCCCATCCAAGTGTTGATTTGTTTGAGTATCATGGCATTATCCTTGTCTAAGAATGAATTCTTAATTTCTTGCCCATGGTTTGACTTAGGAAGCTATGTCGTGAAATATAACAATATAGAATACTTAGTATACAAGTATTCGTAGCCTATTTTGTTAGTGGATTGATGTATATGTAATAATTGCTACATTCATCAAACTGCCTATTCTGAGGAAATTTTTTCCTATTCTGAACTTTTATGTTTACAGACATTTTCTCTGCAGACAATGATGACTTTTCCAGGTAGGGTTGATGCCCCACCGGCATATGTACCTTTGCAAGCTTCCAATTTATGCACATTGCCCAGAGAAGCTAACGCAGATGCATATGAAGTCCAATAGAAAAACAGTACCGTTTAATAGCTCAATGTGGACTTATTTTCGGACTCATTTTAACAGTACATTACACAACAATGACAATACATGAGTGATAAAAAGCCTAGACGAAGATTTACCTAGATTCAATGTCCTCCTTGGGCTCTTTCGCCGCCTTCATCTTACGATCTCCCCTCGCCACTTTCTTCGGCTCCTCCATGTAGTCTTTCTCCAAAAAGCAGTGCCGCCAAACCGTACCAGAAGACGAAGAACGAAGGGGAGCTCACCGGCGAAAAGTTAAAACCAAAGGCCCGCGCGCGAGAGGAATTTTAAATGTTCTATGATGCTCGGGCCGGGTCCGCGGGCCACAATTAACGAATTTCAATTTTTTAATGTTTTATGAGGTGGTTCCCATGTAGGTGATGGTGTTGTGAAAAAAATGGCAATAAAGTGAAAAATCGGACGGAGAAAAATCTTAAAACACAAAATCGTGAGATTTACGTAGTGTCTTCCCAAGCTCTCAAAAGAACAAAAGAATAGAAAAATTAGATACAAGAAAAAAATTTATTTGTTCTTTGTACAACAATTATGTAGGCTGCAAAATTTTGAATTTCAACCCCTCTTGAGACATGATGAAAGTTTCATGTAAAATTTCAGATAAAATTTTTGAAAGACATTAAACTTTAGAAAAGACAACACTTAGATATTTTATCCTCGTTTCACGGTGACTTTTGATCTAGGATTAAGATTTCACATAGTCGTGAGCCCTCGTGTAAACCCTATGATTAATTATCTCTCCTAATATTAGAAGAGTACATCGAAATAAAGCTAGTCAATAGGTGCAAAGTATTTAAATTTATTACTTTAAAACAATTTTAACAAAACTTCTTGAATCAATTTTCACAATCATCAAGCAAACTTTAATAATCTTCAAACAACTAGCTTAATTCATATCCAACTAACTCAAGTTCCCAATTATAATGTATCACACGAAAAAATATTGCATACATACACCACATGCAAAGATGCATGCAGTGTCTGATCATGACCGCAAGATGCAATCAATTTTTTTTTGAAAAAAAAAAAATTAAAGTAGAGCCCACCGAAATAGGTGTTTTAGGTGGGCTAGGTTACCTCCATGGAAAAGATGAAATGCAATCACTTTGCGAGGTGGGTTGAGTTCATCAACTTCGGCAGGTGGGTTCAGTGCAACGTATTAATTTTCGCCGTTTAAGCACACATTGAAAAAATAGCCTATATATTAGATATATAACCATACATTATGTATACAAAAGTACAAAGGTCAAATATGCAAATATATAAAAATTGGGGGGGTCTATATATATATATATATATAAATGCCCAAATTTCTTCTAGGAAAATTTACAAAATACATATATGCATACCACTAAAGCCCTACCAATTAATACACATGCATGTAACCATTGAATGGCATGCATGCACATAATATGCAAATTAATAAGTAAATCTCAGTCATTGAATCCACTGCTCTTCACAGTGAGTCGCGTGGCCGCCCACATCTATTGGTCTCACTATATATATATATATATCAGAGCAAAAGAATAAAAAATGAACGGAGTAAGTGAGATCGATGAAGAGATTCGATTTCAAAATAATTTTGTTTATTATTTTTAACTTGTTGATTTATTACTGATTTATTGAGGATTTAATTGAGAAGGTCGTGGTCGTTATGGAGACCGAACTGCACTGTGAAGCCTGTCGTGAGATCATAGAGGAACATGTTAAAAGATATAAAGGTATTTAATTAGATGTTAAAATATTATTTTTCTTATATTTGAGATTAAAAATAAGAAAAATAATATTTTGATTAGAAATAAAATAAAGAATCTTAGAAAAATTGTTTGAGCATATATAAAAAATGTGAGGTATCAAAGTAATTTTTTTTTGACAGGATGGAACATTTTCAAAATTAGTTTTTTTTTTTTTTTTTCATTCATTATTTTAAATTTATTATATTATTATTTGAATTTTAGGAGTGCTTGCTGTGAATACCAATATGGGGAGCGGTATGGCGAGCGATACATTGAGAGTTTTAGGGTTTTTGGACCCATACAACATTCGGGATTATGTAACACAAAAATTTGGTAAGTGGGTTGAGATTCTCTCGGTGAAGACGGTGGACGACGCCGTCGCCGCCCGGGTCGCTGAGTTGAAAGAATTGCAGGTGAAATCAATAATTTTTTTTTTTTAGCACTCAGTACATGAGAAAAAAATATATTAAGACAGAATTTAGTTAATATTTTTTTATTTTATTGTCATTATGTAAGTTGGGGTCTTCAACTGCGGTGCTGACGACTCGTTTAGGCGGTGAAGGCTGCATGGAGAATGTCAAGCAGATTCTTCTCGACGTTAATGGTAATTAGCTTACTTATTAAATTAAAAAGCTTTATTTTGTTTATTTTATCAAACAAAGTACACCCCTATCTGCAAATTAAGAATATCTAATTTTATTTCTGATATTTTCATAATTGCATATATGCCCAGGGGTAAAGGCGGTACATATCGATGGCGGTAATGGGTTGGTAATCGTTGAAGGGACAATGGACGTTAATACATTACCATTGCACCTCAAGGACAAGCTCAAACATAACATTGAGGTTTTTCAAATGGAGATTGGCAGCAACAACAACAGTGGCTATAAAAACAATAGTAATAGCGAGGAGGGAGGCAGTGACAGAATCCTTGGAGAGGAGAAGGAGAATCACGGTGGGGGTCGGAATTGATGAGCAATCCTCAACACTCTCATAAAGAGATCCCCCAACAATCGCTTAGTTATGTTGTGCGGTGTGGAAATTTGTGAGAGTTCAGTGATGCTCAAGTTTATTTGCTAAAATTTGAAGGGTTATTTATGAAAAATTGGGAGAAAAGAAAATGAAATAAATATTTGATTGGGTGAAAATGTTTCTCCATAGTTTTTTTTTTTTTTTTTTTTTGACGAAAGAAAAAAATAAATAAATTTTTGGTTTTTTGAATTCTTTTGGTTTATGTAAATCAAATATAGGGAGGTTGAAAATTTTGATATTTGTTTGGATGGAAGTGAAATATAATATAGAATTTTACTTGGGGGCTTGGGTTTAGTTCAAATCCAAATTAAATCTAAAATTAACTCGAATTCAAATTTAACTAAATAAACCCAATATAAAAAGGACCCAAACTAACATTGAAACAACGTAAAATACATAGTAATTGTGTGGTCTGCGTTAATATTTTTATCCTACCTGACTTTAGATTTGAAGTATTCATTTAATCATAGCCTATGAAAACTAATAACAGTTTCTACATGAATTAATAGCTTAAAAGAGTGCTTATAAAAAAATAAATTAATTTGGCGTCTTTTATTTGATGGATAGCTTATAATTTATTTAATGGAGTAATTTGCATGATAATGCATTAATGTGTAACTCTGTTGTTATCACGCATATCGTCTAAAGTGAAATAAAAAGAAAACTTTAATGCAAAATCTTATTGCACTATTCTATAATATAATATTGGAATCACACAACCCTTTTGGAAGAACTCAATTACATATAGGTTCAAGGCGTAGTGCCAAGTGCCTATAAGACTGATGGCAACACTTCAACCCATTTGCTTTTGCTTCTTCTAGCTTCTTTCGAGTAAGCTCAAGATGAGTTTATTTGTTGCTTCTACCTGACTATTGCTTATGGGACATTGTACAATTGTGAAATTTAGAGATATTCCTTGGCATTTTTTTTCACTCTCTTATCAAAAAATAGGGTTTTGTTGTCACTGATGTAACCATGAGTATAGTATCTGCAGATGATGTCAGTTCATATGAAATTCTGAACGACATCAGCTATAATTTTGCCTAAAGGCTTGGCCTTGATATACTTGGAGAAATAATCAATCATCACAAGAATATAATTTCTTTGTCCTTTAACGGAGGGAAGAAGTCCCAATAGATCCTTTTACTACATCTCAAAAGGCCAATGACTATTTATAGGCTATAATTTGTGTGATGGTTGAAGCTGCAAAAGGGCGAACTTCTAACATTGCTCAAATTTATTAGAGAATTCTTTACCATCTTTCCGGGGTGTAGGCCAATAAAAATATTGCTTTAGAATTTTATGTGATAGAGTCCTTCCTCAAAAGTGACATTCATTTCAGAGTGTAGGCTAATAATAATATTGCTTTCCAATTATTGAACTAATGCTCTCTCTCTCTCTCTCTCTCTCTCTCTCTCTCTCTCTCTCTCTCCCCCCCCCCAGGCAGATGTATATTTCTCTTACACGGGGCATTGCAGTAGGGGAAGTGAAGAAAGGAGAACATAAGTCTCCATACTTTGAGATGAATCTATAAAGCTTTATAGTCTATCTGGTTAGGAATTGTGTTCTCTTGAGATTCTTGAGATTTACATATGTAATATTGCCCTAACTTTCTCAGAATTCAACTTTATTCCTTCAGGCGTAAGTAATTATCCAATAAATGTTATGCAATTGGCTCTGAAAATACATTTCAAAATACAGTTCAACCGATTTGGAATTAGTTATCTCAGGCGAAAGTAAGTGAAAATCATCTTCATCTTATTCAAGTTCTCATGGCTCTCCGACCTGAATATGAAGCCGTTCGAGCATCTCTCCTTCACTGACATCCTCTTCCTACATTGGATATGGTTGTATAAGAAATCATTTTCGAAGAAACTCACCTCAATCTGGAAAAGAGCTCGAATTCTGAAATTGCTCTCGCAACAACTCATCCCCCATATTATAAATCTGGCAATAACACATGTAATAATTGAAAACAAAATGGACATATTTTTGTTAATTGTCTGACTGTCGAATGCAGATATTGTCATACTCATGGTCATATTCTTGAGAATTGCCCGACTCGCCCTCCAAAACCAAAAGGTGGGGTCTCTAAGCTCAAGATCGTCTCGAAGCCTGGTGTTACTTGTGTCTCTGCTGCAACCACTGACAGCTCTACCGCTATCACTATGAGTGATATTGAAGCTCTATTTAAACAGGTTATCTCTTCCAATTCATCTACGACCATGTATGTCAGTCCGGGTAACCCTTATTGGCTTTTTGACTCTTCCTGTTGTAACCATATGACTAATAATACTAAACTGTTGTCTACCATATCACCAATTTTTTTCTTGCCACACTATTCACATTGCCAATGGTAGCAAAATGAATATCACTCACAAGGGTCATGTATCTACCCCCAATCTTAGTCTTCCTGAAACCTAATATATCCCTAACTTAGACTTCAATCTTATCTCTGTTGGTCAGTTATGTGAACAAAGACTAAATGTTAACTTTTCCCCTTCATGTTGTCAGGTACAAGATCCACAAATGGGACAAATTCTTAGAATGAGTCGTTGGGTTGGTCGATTATTTGAGTTTGTATCTCTGCATATTCCCCAGAAATTTCTGTCTGCTGCTACAACTACCAACTCCTCTATTCACCAATGACATCTTCGTCTTGGTCATGCCTCAGCCAGTAAAATTCAACGTGGCTTGTTAGGATCTACAAATTTTGAATCATTTAATTGTATACACTGTCAACTTGCAAAAGAACCAACATTGTCGTTTAATGTTAGTAATTCAATTTCAGAAAGACTCTTTGACTTAAATCATTCAGACATCAGAGGTCCTTCCCCCATTTCTTCAATAAATGACTTTCGTTATTTTGTGTTATTTATTGATGATTATTCTGTTTTACATGAATTTATTTTTTTAAAATTTGATCTTAATTGCCAAAAATCTACACTTCATTTGCTAATATGATTAAAACTCAATTATCCTCAACTATTAAAATTCTTCGAACAGACAACGCTGTAAAATATTGAGTTACCTCCTTACTCCAATTTCTCAATCAACAAGGTACTTTGGTTCATCGTTCTTGTCCTCACACTTCCCAACAAAATGGACGAGCTGAACGAAAACACCGTCATATTCTTGATTCTATTGTGCCCTTCTTCTTTCTGCCTCTTGTTTAGAAAAAAATTGGGTTGAAGCAGCTCTTACTGTAGTCTACAACATTAATTGAGTCCTTACACTAATTCTCCAAAATTAATCCCCTTTAGAAAAATTATTTGGGAAGCCTCCTGACTATTCTCTACTTAAACCATTTGATTGTGCATGCTTTGTTCTTTTACAACCTCATGAACGCAAAAAAATTAGAACCACATGCACGTTTATGTTATTTTCTTGGGTATGGAATTGAACACAAAGGGTATCATTGTTTTTGGGATCCTATTACAAATAAACTTCACATATCACATCATGTTACCTTCTAAAAAAATACCATGTTCTCATCCCTTTTCAAATTTCACCAATCTGTCAATATTGACTCTATGTTGCAAACTGACTCATCAATTGAGTTATTTCCAAATGCAGACACAGAGAATTCCGATACACTCAATATTAGGCCTTCCACACCTGCTCCTATTGATTCTTCTCCAGCTACTGATCCTGCACCTACACCTTAGCCTACCCTTGACACCACTCTCCGTCGCTCTACTTGGGTAAGAGAAACTCCTCGTTCCCTTACCGATTTCCATTGTTATTCTGCTATTGCAACCCTTCATGAGCCTCACTCTTATCGTGAGGCAAGTACTGACCCTCTTTAGCAGTAAGCTATGATGAAAGATCTTCAGGCTTTGAAGAAAACCCATACTTGGGAATTAGTCGATCTTCCTCCTCACAAGTCTCCTATTGACTGTAAATGGATTTATTAAATCACGACTCGTTCCGATGGGTCCATTGAGCGCTACAAAGCTCGCTTAGTAGCCATAGGTTATACTCAAGAATATTGAATAGATTATGAAGAAACTTTTGCTCCCGTTGCCCGATTAACATTAGGTTGTACTCTATTAGCTATTTCTGCAGTTCATAAATGGAAGCTTCACCAGATGGATGTCAAAAATGCTTTCCTCCATGGTGATTTGACAGGAGAGGTGTATATGCATCCTCCCACTGGTTTTCAATCTCCTCATAAAGTATGCAAGCTTCGTCAAGCCTTATATGGATTAAAACAAGCTCCTCGAGCCTGGTTTGCCAAATTTAGTTCTACTCTGGCTCAACTTGGCTTTATCTCTATCCCACATGATACAACATTATTCGTTCTTCGAACTGACCATGGTATTGTACTTCTACTACTTTATGTTGATGATATGATAATAATAGGTAATGACATATCTGGTATCCCCGAATTACAACATTTTCTTAGTCAACTTTTTGAAATGAAGGACCTTGACAATCTCAGTTATTTTTTGGGGATTGAAGTTTCTCATAATTTTGAAGGTTATTATTATCGCAAGCTAATTATGCATCTGATCTACTTTCTCGAGCGGGCATTATTGTTATGGTATGGCTCATATACCATATCGGGACAGACGCTGGGTCGAAGCAGAGCGGAGCGGAGCGGAAGAATCTGTCCAAATTTGGAAGTTACGTGGGTTGGGATGCGGGGGCAAAGCCCCGTGGTTTGGTACAAGGGTAATGTTGTAATTATATATTGTGCCTAAGGTCTACTCCTGGGGTTATAAATAGGTCTGTTAGTAACCCCAGAATGTATCCTCTATTCTGTAACCTCTTTTCTGAATATTGTAAGGAACTCGCCGCTCTGCTCCCGAGGACGTATGCATCTTTGCCGAACCTCGTTAAATCTCTGTGTTCTTCTGGATTTGTATCGTTACTGTTTTTCTTCGCCTTAATTTTCTCAACAATTACAGATAACAAAACTATATCAACCCTCTTGGAACTCAATTGCAAACTTACTCCTCTCGATGACAATCCACTTGATGATCCTACTCTATATCGACAACTTGTGGAAAATCTTGTTTATCTCACTGTTACTCGACCTAATATCTCATATGCTGTTCACTTAGTCAGTCAGTTCATGTCCACCCTTCTCTCATCACATTTTTTTGCAGTTCTTCGGATACTTCAATATATTAAAGGCATTCTCTTTCATGGTCTACATTTTTCAGCTCACTCCTCTTTGGTGCTATCCGGCTACTCTGATGTTGTTTGGGCTGGTGATCCCACAGATCGTCGTTCCACTACTGGTTATTGCTTCTTCTTAGGAGATTCTTTTATCTATTGGCGTAGCAAAAAGCAAACAGTCGTTGCTCGTTCCAGCACAGAATCTGAGTGTCGTGCTCTACCTGATGCCACATCTGAGTTACTTTGGTTGCGATGGTTATTATCTTATATGGGTGTCCAACAATCTTCTGCTACTATGCTTCATTGTGATAATAGAAGTGCTATACATATCTCTCATAATGATTTTTTTCATGAGCGCACTAAACATATTGAAATCGACCGTCACTTTATTCGTCATCATATTACTCAGGGCACCATACTTTTAATTTCTTCTCATCTACTAACCAAACAACTGATATCTTCACCAAAACTCATCTTTCCATGCGATTTCAAGATCTAATGAGCAAACTCAAGATGACATCCACCATACCATCATGAGCTTGAGAGGGGGTGTTAAGGAAATAAATCAATGACACTTATTGCCCTTGTTAAAGAAATAAATCAATGACACTTATTGTCCTAAATATGATGTAATGACAGGTAAGTTCTTTTCTATTCTAAATTTTAGAATACTTGTATGGATACGCCCCTTGCACAATGTAAAAGAGACAAAGAAATACAAATATCTTTTTTATTATCATATATTACGGAAGGAGAATATATATATATAGAAACACACAGATACTTAAAAATTAAAAATTGAGTGGTATGTATATTAGGTAAATCCGACTTTACTAATTTGAATATTCTTTGACCCAATATGTTAAAACTTTAAATTTGGATCCGTAAAAAATAAGCTAATATTAACCTTATTAATGAATTAATTATCTATATTTATGCAAACGCACCACGAAATCCAAGGAGGCAACACTGTCGATGCAGCAATGCAGTCGGCTTTTCTCTTTAACGCATAATATACTAATACAAGGGAAATATACAAATAGACCAAACAAATCTTATGAATTTATATACTAACACTAATAATTTGATATTTACAGTTACAACACTTTGATACTATATATTTATGCATAAAAATATGCATTTGATCTTGATCGTAAAAATGAAATTCTTAACTTCAAATTTTTGAATGTTATGAATGTAAATATTAAAGTTTAAGCCATAGATATGAAAATAGATAAATAAAAGAGTTGTGCGGAACATTATCTATAAGAATTGTGTGCTATGTATGGAAATGTGCTTTTTTTTTAATTAATGCTGTATATGTGGAAATGTGCCTTTATTAATGCTGATAGAGGCTTATTTTAATAGCTAACTTTACTCGGCCTTCATCACTCTCCTCTTCTTATTCTCTCAGGCGCTCCTCTGTCTTGATTAGGGCTGTCAAAAAAGCTCGTTGTTCGCAAACAGTTCGTGTTCGGTTCGTCAATGAGTTCGTGTTCGATTCGTTCGATAAGTAAACAAGACAAACGCGAACAAATTTTTTTCGTTCGGTTAGTTAAACGAACCAAACACGAACAGTGATGCGTTCGTTCGCGTTCGAATCGTTATTATTTGAAATTTAAAATAATATAAAATAATTAGATAAAAAAAATTTATTATATTTTAAAACATTAAATTTTATAAATTATAATATATAATAAAATAATAATAATAATATATTAATATACTATAGTAGTAATATACTAATATAGATATTGTATATTTATATAATATAAGTTATATAATTAATATATAATATTATTTTTATATATTAATATTAGGGATGTCAAACTGGCTCGTCGTTCGCGAACAGCTCGTGTTCGGTTCGTGTTCGGCTCGTTCGTTAAGAAACGAACACGAGCTTATTTCAAACAAACTAAATTTTAAACGAACCGAACACGAACACAAGCTTTGTTCGTTCGTGTTCGTTCGTTTACACCCCTAGCCTTGATCATTCTCCTCTTATTTATTCAGACAGGCAAAGCAAATAAAAATGGCGATGATCCTGACAAGGTGGTCATGATTTTGGGCGTCAAAGATAAGCTAAAATGGCTGCAGCAAGAAATGACAAGAATCCAAGTTCTTAGAGGCGGCGGAGCGGCGACAGCTTGAAGATCCAGTAATCAAACACTTGGTAGGCGAGCTCAAAGACGTCGCTTATGATGCTGATGACTCTATCGATGGCTGCATAGTCGAAAGCGCTGCTCTTTCGCTAGTCGGCCGACCATCCTCATCCAAAAAATTACCGGTATGTTTCAACTTCTCCCTCTTATCCTCTTGCTTAGCAAGCGTTCCTCATCGTTATGCGATTGCAGAAAGCATCAAAGCTCTTATTGATAAATAAGAGCTTACTAGAGTTATCATGAGATCCAAACTTTTTTGACCTGTTTTGATGCAGGAAAAGATTCAGAATATGCAAGGAAGGGATTAGTGAGAGATAATATTCAATTACTAAAATTGCCGTCTGAAAATATCCTCCATTCCATAATCTGTTATTAAATTTTGCTTTGAAAATCCTAACTCCATCTCTCTTTCTCTTGGAGATCTGTCTCGCATCTCTATTCTGGAAAGAAAAGAGTTCTGCAAGTTGAAGAAGACTGAAGGTTAGGGCTGCAAAAATTTACTAAAAAGAAGCAAAATTCAAGAAGAAAAAAGGGCCATATTTCAGGTCTGTAACTTCATTTCTCACAAACATGTTATATTTCCTTACTGTCACATTGCATTATATCTTGTTAAAACTACTACTTTTACTTCATCAAACTGTTATAGATATTATTAAAATACAAATCATAATAGCTAGGATGAACTAAGAAAACATCATGAACAATCATATTGTCCCAAACAAGGAAGATACAAAAAAAAAAAAAAAAAAAAAAAAAGGGCATCTTACATTCCACACCAACATTCTATTCTACATTTAGGACGAGGAGACTTTTAAGCAGCTATAACCACTATAGCCAAACTCTGGTTGTTTGGGTCAATACAACCACTTTCACAAGAGAGGTGGGCATATCATTGAGTCATGCAACTAACTAAAGGAAAACATTGAGAAATTAATTCGAGAAGGTTACCTTAATTGTTTTGCCCAAGACCAACATGTCTGCGCTGACACTAATCTGAAAGGCAATAACTGCAAAAGTGATAGCAGGGTAGTTGCTAAATTGTCAGTTAAATTGAGGTTGTAGTTGGACATTACTATCAGGTAAATTTTGATTATTGTAGTAGAGTGCCCAACAAGTCTATTGCCACTTGCTCCATAATATTGACAACTCTGGCCTCGAAATAGTGCTTGTTATTGATGCCGGTATTGGCAACACATGCTTCAATGCCTAATAAATTTTGATTGTCAATGTGATTTCCATCCATATTCTACTCTATTCAATTTGGTCTAGTGTCAGAGACTCTAGTAGCTTATAGGGACAGTTGTTTGAGTTAGATAATCATGTGATGAGAGTTGAAGGGGGGTCATCACTCTGTCACACTCAAAAAATTTCCTTGACTAGTGACTCCATCTAGTTTGTGAAAGGCAAAATTGAGTCAAGCTGCATTAATTTCTTTGGGAGGCCCACTAGTCAAATCTTCGACACTATTGCTTCTGTCATTTATGTGAAGGTGAATTTTATGATCCTTATTGGAACCACTGTGGTGTGGGAAACAAAAATAATTTGAGGTTCAAGCACCTTAGTACAATGCGATATTTTAACAGGAGAGATTTTGTTGAAGTTGGAGATAAGCATGCGTCGTTGAAAATTAGGGGTGTAAATGAGCCAAGCACGAAGAGAGCTCAGGTTTAGCTTGTGTTCGACTCATTTATATGTCAAGCTCAAAAAGTGTGTTCTTGTTCAGTTCGTTCGCTTAACGAACCGAACACGAGCCGTTCACAAATAAATAGTCGTTTTGACAACTCTAATCTCGTTGTCATAAGATGTTAAGGATTAGGGCAAGATTTAAAACATCATTTGAGTCTAATTTAAAATTTTTTATTCTATTTTCTTAATTAATACTTTTAATTGATTATAAATCTTTGTAATCTTTTAGTCAATTAAATTTTTTAAAAATACTACTCATCAAATAGACACGCACACACACAGCCATATATATATATATTTGGTAGTATTTCGAGTCAAAACAAGCCGAACACGAACGGATAAATATTTGTTCTTGTTGTTCATGTTCAGCTCGTTAACTTGACGAACGAGCCTAACACCAGCTATTTGCGAACAACGAGTTGTTTTGACTAGTTTTACAAACATACCACTCAATTCCGATGTATTTGCATATCTAGCAATTAAACTTCAATTTTTAATTGCATGCCACCTTACAAAGCATAAAGAGATGTATTTCATTTTTTAGAAGTTAAATGGTGGTATTTTTAATGTGATATGAAATGATTTTGCGGGTATTAATGTAAAAATGTAAAGTTGATTTGTTGGATATGTAATCACATAAGAACTTTGTGGTATGTATGTAAATGCCCCTAACGTGTAAAATGTTGAAGTGCAAATTGCCTTCTCTTCTTCAATCATAGGCTTTGAAGTTTCTATCCCAACATGAAAGCCTATTATCCTCATACCCTTTGAATTATTTTGTAAAGGTTTCTTCTTTCCACAATCGTAGGGGCGTCTCCACAATCCTTCTGCCTAGGAGAAATCATATTCGTCCAAAATTTCCAATATGTTTTGCAGATTGCTTCATTTATAACTTTCCCGAGATAAACACGAAGAAAAGATTTTCTTGAGGTTATTTGGGATTTATTATAGCAAAAAAATATGGAATTGTTTGATCCCTTATCAAATTAGTATATTTGGGGGTTTTTGGCGCATTATTGAAGGGTTATTTTAGAGTTATTGTAACGTCTTTACAAAATTTTGACTGGTTAATGACGCAAAAAAATACGGAGCTTAGGAACCCTTACCAAATCAATATAATTAGAGGTTATTGATAAGTTATAGGAAGACTATAGTGTCATTATTGGGGGTTATTAAGCAAATACTATTGAGGTATAGTAGTGATTATGAGCGCGATGTAAATAAAGGTTATTAACGCGTTATTTGAGGGTTATTGGAGGGTTTAATTTGGTTATTAACGGGTTATGTGGTTGTTATTCACTCAAAAATGTGGAGACGTTAGATCACTCATCATATGGGTTTAGTAGTGTGTTAGAGATGCATCAGATTAGTACAGTGATGTTTGAGGTTATTTGTTGAAATTTAAAAGGTTATTTATGAAAATTTGGGAGAAAAGAAAGTTTAGTTGAAAATGAAATAAATATTTGATGATTGGGTGGAGAGGTTTCTCCATAGTTTTTTAAAATTCTTTTGGTTTATGTAAATCAAATTTAGGAAGATTGAAACATTTGACATTTGTTTGGATGGATATGAAATATAATATAAAAATTTGAATTTTTTTTTGATAGAAATAGTGTATTGCAATTCATTAGATTTGTATAATTTTTACACT